ACGGCCCAAGTTGTGAGGCAAGTTTTGCCATGATGACTGTAATCCTTTTTTTATTTTTTTGATGGGACAGGATTGGTATTTTGCTTCGTGTTTTCCTCATTTGGCCTCATGGCATATATAGACACTAGACAGTCATTTAGCAGCACACCATCTTCCTAACTGCCTCTCAGCAGCCTTAAGTGCAGTATAATGGACAAAACCATTGGCTTTAGCTTCTCCATTACTGTCACAGATCATTCTGCCCGACAGAACTTCAACAAAGCGTGAGAAAAGTGTCCTTCAGATATGCACTTCTCAACTCACCAGTAGTAAGCAATCTGGGTACTTTACATACGTTTTGGGAATACTGTAAATCTGGACATACTGCTCTTTCCACATACGGTTTTTATTCACTTACTATATATTAGGGAAGTATGTGATTTCAGATGCAGCCATGAATGAATAGGTTCAATGAAAGTGACCACCACCTAAGTTTCATTCGTAAAGAATTCAATTTTTTTCTGCATTCAGTATTTATTTTTAAACTATTATCTGAACACAATCACTTATGCAAAACTCAGATTTAGTCAAATGTTTTATAAAGTCTGTATTGCGTGCTACAGTGATGTGATTGGCTGCTGATCCAGTAGGGGGCAGCAGTGCATCTTCACACTAAAGCTTTGAGCACGTGTTCTGCAGCATGGTCAGCCATGCATCTGTCACACACTCACACACACACACACACACCACAACTGCTTCTTGCCTCCTGGTTTTCATTATACCGCCTCTGTACTCACAGCATAAATATATGCAGTATTGTTTGTAAATAAGTATCACATAATAAATGATTCCCCAGACAATTCAGAATCACAACCTCCTGTTTGCTGAAGCAAAATCAAGTGCAGAGCAACGGCCGATGCAGCAAACTTCACAAATAAAAAAAGTTCACGCTTAAACGAATGCATCACAAGGGTCAGGCTGCATCGTTTGTCAGTCACTTTTTTATTCTTGGACGTATTTCATAGCCGCACACACACACACACTAGCTTACACATACAAAAAATGAGCAAATCCAATTATTTAAGTTGATTTAAGTATGCAAAGCAAGGCCTGTGGGGTCATATGCACATAGGTAATCAATAGTAATTACCATTTCATTTCTCCCTTGTTATTTCCTTCCGTCTTAAATCAGAATCTGATCTGATCGCAGTGATTGAGCCCAATGGATGGACGGCTCGTTTGAGGCTCCGTATCAAGCCCAGACGCGTGGACTTGCCCGACTTGAACTTAATTTCATACATCACTCCTCCGAAACACAGCGCTCCAATTAAACTCCAGGCCTGGATCATTCTAATGCTCTGGAAAATAGAGCACTTCCATTAAAGAGACGCTTAATTCAGGCACCGTGAATGCTTTGTGCTGCAGATTTCTGCCTTTGATTCCACACTTATATGGATTTCTGGAGAAAGAAGTATGATCCCCAATGATATTCCTGTGCAGTAAACAGTGAACGCCCAGAGTGGTAAAAATAGATTACTTGAAAGCCACTGCGATAACAATGGTAATGCGAGACAATAAATCTCGGTGTGTAATATTAGAAAAGCAATATTTCTCTTTCAGATAAATCATGAGTGTGTGTGTGCGTGACACATGCGGAGGATGAATATTTATGAAGGAATAAATCCATGAAGAAATAAACTGGCGTAATGTTCCAGCTTTTGCAGCTCGATAAAACGTGAATGATGAATGTGGGACTTTTTGAAGCTTTCTCGCAGGCAGATTGAACAAATCTCTACTGTACTGTGGTGTACAGTATCTGACGCTGGATGTTTCATTGATTAAGGGCCGTACGCTTCACTGCTTTCTCGTCTGTTATTGGAGATGGTATCAAGAGCCTTATTACTGATCTGCTCTCCAGCACTTGCTTAAACAGAGAAGAAAAGGAACAATGCTTTTCATATTCATCGGCTGGGCTCAATTTATAGATTTTATTATTTTATTTATTTTTTGCTGGCCCAGGGGAGCCAGTAGTTTAGAATTGTATGCGCCATGGCATCATTTTTATTGGTCAAAATGAAATGTTTTGCTATTTTTCTAAGCAAGATTAGCAGGAAGACGATAGAAGCAAGATTTCTTTGAAAGGTAATTGCATAACAAATATAAAACCTATTATAATGGTTTTCTAATTTGGAATAATAGCCGTGATTTGTTTTTGAACTCCGAACAGGGCACTTAACAGTCATAAATTCATAAACTCCCAACATGAACCCATGCCCTCCTGGCCCTCCTCCTTTAATGATATTTCTTTAAATACAGGCACTTCCAAACGGTTGATTTGTAATAAAAAAAAAATAACTAAAGAAAACAATTTTACAAGGTGGCAATTTAAAAAAAATTTATATGTTTTGATTTATACAAAAACATGATATTTATAAAAAAAAATTAAGCAAGACGGTCAAAAACTCCAACCTTAACCATCAGTGGTGAGTAGGTGTGGAACGGTTCAACTTACTTACAATTC